AGAGAGAATTTCTAATCATTTAAGAGAAATAAATTGGCTTACGATGCGGCAGAGATGGATGGTTCACTTAATAACACTGGTCCACAGTACACTGATGACAAAAACGCCAATATATCTTAATAGTAAGCTTAGTTGGAGGTGTGAACAGCATTACGTTAACCTACGATTCGTGCCCAACTAACAATTAACACTCCTATTAGAGTTGCAAAAATGATTATACAGTATTCCTTACGCAGCATTGTATACTGTAAGAACATTGACAAAACCCTCTTAGAACAGCTATACAAGCGGAATGGGCATACCTAATAGGACACTTCTGTCATTTAAGAGGTTGTATAAGGGCTGCAGGTAACATTTATACAACAAAAGTGTAAGCCCCTTGCAGCCGCTATAGGACATTTGCGTCAGTGCAAGATTCAGTTTTTGTCAACTATACAACTATTCTGTTACGTGATTCTACTTTATTGCAACCAACCTATTTCTTATGTATTGCATAGACGAAGTGAAGAATATATAACTAACACATTACAGTCATCTTTTACTTACATATCGGCCATTGTGAATTTCATACACAGGTATATGATAAACTTATACACTGTGATATAGGGCTATTGAATTACTTGCGCAGCAAATTTTTGTTGTGATTATCGTGCAAAGTAGTTACGAAATTTCTACGGGCTTCATATTTCATGCATATTTTGATAATGATCAAAGGTATGTCTAGATTTTTAAGATGGAAAACTGAACTTATCTGCGTTAAATCTTCCACAAATCCTATATTTAGACACAATTACACTAATGTTTATTACTTTATATCTGTAATTTCGAACTGAAACATAATTATTTAATATTAAATAGAGGAATAAATGTTTGCCCAATATGGCTGGTGATTGTGTATAATCATGGCATCGTCCATGTTGTCTTCAGTTTATTAGAATATTTTGGTGTTGCCTGCAGGTGTTATACAACAATTTGACAAATGCCTGAAATGAAATACCGACAGAGTCCAATGATTTACCCAGAATTTGTACCAGATCTATATCTTCTGTTTGAACAGTTGATAAAACTTTTTGAACCAATATGCATGCGTTGTTTGTCTTAAATCATTCGTTATGGCATTTTAGCAAAAGTATGACAGCAGAAAGTTAGGTTATGGTGAAGTTGTATACCAACATATTTAGCATATGTACAGCCTTTAACAGTCACTAAACAACAGTTGTATAAGTGCTTCCGTTGGGAGCAACTTGTTGGCTAAAGTAGTAATATGCACAGCAAAACAACAAGGCTCGGGTTTGTTTTATAAACGTTACCATGGATGCCACAACACAACCATTTTGACTAACGTGCAAATATGCCGTATAAAATAGTTGTATAAACAGTTAAAAATTTGCCCTATAAGGTGTTGTATAACTATGCTAAAGAATATTTTAAACACCTCATTTTAGAGCAAATGTGTTGCAGAAAGCAAATTTGCATTCCACACAACATTAAGCCAGCATTTTGGTGTTCAGGCAACAACAATAGAGAGCTTTTATGGCTGAATGGTTCTTTTACCAAAAGCTTGTAGCACTACTTTGCTAGTTGGGTGGACATACCGTATCATAAAACTGCTCAATTTAGGATGTCATTTTCTTATATGCTCACCCAATTTATACAATAGATTGCCATCAAGTGTAAAAACACTCTCCAAATTTAGTTTCGCAAAGAAGGTCAAGCAATTCGTTTTAGATAACATTGTTTCAATTTTTGAATAAATTTTAAGTGTCTTTGTTGTATCAGGCTATTAATATGTATCTTGTACTAACCTATTCATGCTTTTTTTGTATCGAGCTTTCTTTCAATGTGTTTAATCAGTACCTTGTTAGTGTGTGTGTTCGTGACATTTACATTTTCTTTTAATCTGCTTTTTCATTTGTTTTTTTAATAAAATTGTACTGTATTTTTTGTGTAGCCCTGGTTGGTGGTAAGAGCAGCTTCATAGCTGACGCCGGCTAGGTAAAATAAAGGCCTATTATTATTATTATTATTATTATTATTATTATTATTATTAAATCGTCTTGATGTCGATAGCGACCTGATGATAGCTCTGGCAAAAACAGAACCTAGAATCAACCAACTGCAATCTCAAGTATCTCATTAGTACCTACTCTTATTTTACTCAAGTTATTCGATAAAAAAACATTTATCAGTTTATTTAAACTTTTAAAGTTTATTTCTTAGAATTAAAATGAAACTATTTGTACCTATATAATCTGCGTTTTTTTTGTACTTATTGAAGGGGGGCATGAAAGTATAATTTATAATCCGGGGAGCTTCAACAAAGAAAAAAAAAGGTGAAAAACCCTGGTCTAACTTGCGCGACTGATCACAGCGTTGTGTGAGAATTGCAGAGCCAACCTACTTGGCGCCATTTTTTTCAAATTTTTCTTATTTTATGGTTTTTAGCAGACTCGTTACATAGATGGTGACCATACCAATAGCAAATCAGGTAGCTATTATTACACGCCACATTGTCTTTCATAATTCATGTTTCGTAACAAATAAAACCCGACAATATTCTTGCTCATTCCAAAACAAACACTTCCTAGTTGGCATGCACGGCAATCACCTCAACCTCCATCGTCTAATATCTTCGATCGCCCGAAGGCAAGAGACACGTTTCAATGGACACTCAGTGAATTTTTACAAGCAGATTATCGAATCACGACATTACATCACATTTAGGTTGTTGCGTTATAGCCTCTTCGTACGCACTAACTTATGAAAGTAAAAATCATCGGTAATGGTCAACAGTGACGTCCAGTCGGAATAGTGCGATACGTTCTTCCTGGTGCTTCGGTGTCTCTACCGACTAGACGTGCTGGTCAAGCTGTAGCTTCACTGGCACAAAAATTAATAAAACCATCTAACACGTTCGCTGCCAAGCAATATTTATGATTATGCCACGAAAGCCACAAAAAGACCAAACAAAAAAAAGCTCCCCTGGAGCCATTTTGTCCAGTCAAAATTTATTAGTTATGATTACGTTACCTGCAGTTAGTTTCTTTGTAGGTGTCATTTTCATCTCAAAATTGTCAAATTGTCGGTCCAACAGACCGCGGCGGCGTAGAAGTAGCTTTTTTATCATATGCGCCAACTCGGTCCATTTCTCGGTCCGCAGCGATTTTGCGCTTCAAGTCAGCACGTGGTGTCTATTGTCTTTCTAATTGCATTTCAGTTCGTACACATTTTCAGACGGAATAGGCGGTTATTGTTGTTATTTTTTAATGTAGTTTGTGTTTCTACAATGTCCAGAAGTCGTGCTTTGAGGCAGAAAGAATTAGAAGAAGAGTTATTTTATTTTTATTTTATTTTATTTTACTTATTTATTTCCAACAGGTAAAACCCAATTACAGGAAACGCTGAAAAAAAATAACAATTAAAGACACATGGTTCTTGGACTTAAATCTATAGTATCACACATTCTAAATAAGATTGGATGATCCATAGCAGTTAATAATCGATGCACAACTGTCACTGTAAATATCACACGATTCAGTAACACTGTTCATGACGCAGCACATGAGATTAATTGGCGATTTTGTCATAACATTTGTACGGCCAGCTTGACAATAGAATGCCGTTTGTTGTCGACTCCCTAGCCTTGGAACGCGGAAACATATTTTTTCAAGTAAATTTTGACAGTCAATTTTATTGTGAATGAGGCCATACAAAAACGACAAAGCAAATATGTTTCGTCTTGTTGACAGTGAATCCAAATTGAAAAACTCTAATAGGGCACTATAGTCACAACCTCTTTCTGGATAAGAACCTGTGCATTTAAGGTGAAAATACTTTAAAGCTTTACGTTGAATGGCCTCAAGGATCACGACAGAAATTTGGTATATAGGAGACCAGATCAGAGTCGCATACTCTAACTTGCTCCTGACAAAAGTAAAAAATAAAGTCATTCATGTATCAACATTGGAGAAACCCTTCCAGTTTCTGATACAGAAACCAAGTAGTCGAGTGGCAGCCGACGAGATATTGAGTATATGCTCAGTAAACGTTAGCTTGGTATCAAAAACGACTCCAAGGTCTCTATAAGAGATGCATCCGTCTATAACCTGACCATTGATGTTATAATTATCATAAATTAAATAGTTAACTTTTCTTGTATAAGTCATAACTTTACATTTCGAAACATTCAGACTGAAACAGTTTCGTGAACACCATGACGAAATTAGAGCTAAGTCATCTTGCAACATGACGCAATCCTCGACTGTCTTGACTGACGTGCAGATTTTAAGGTCATCAGCGAAAAACAAATGGAAACACTTCAGTTCAAAAGACAAGTCATTAATGAATATTAAAAAAAATAATGGACCTAGATTTGACCCTTGAGGTACCCCAGACGTAGTAACTCGACCTATGACCACCGCATTCGACAAATAACCTTCTATCCCTCAAATATGAATTCATGAGCGACAGCATTGCATCAGACATACCCACTGTTTTAAGCTTATCCAGAAGTGCATAATGATCAACTTGATCAAACGCCTTCTGAATATCTGTGTAGATGACAGCAACTTGTCCCTGACCGTCCAGTACTTCAGAAATGTACTGAGTAATTAGAGCCAAGTTGGTGACCGTAGATCTGCCTCTCATAAACCCATGCTGATTAATAGAGACTGCACCCCTGACCGAGCAGTAAACCGTTTCATAAGCGATGATCTCAAACAACTTGCTGAAATTGCACAGGATTGCTATTTGGCGATAGTTGGAAATATCAGAGATATCTTCACTTTTGTGAATAGGACATATTTTAGAGGTATTCCAGATATTTCTCTGATTTTATAATTAGGTCGAATATGGAAGCCAGCGGTTTCGCTAGTATATGAATGCAATCTTTAATGAAAAAACTTGGAATACCATCACATCCAGACGTCATTTTGTTCTTTAATCTTTTCGAAGCCCTAATTACGTTTTCTTCACTTATATTTTTTAAAGAAATGATATCGGTAGAGTTAGAGCGAATTATGCAAAATCTGTCAGATGAAGCATCTGCATTAGAGGATGACGGTAAGAAACATTCTTTATTTCGTAGATCGATCGCATAGACTTGTAAGTTTCCGAGGATAGCTAGACTGCAAAAACGTACAATCCTTCATGCATTTATTATTTTTTTCAGACGATAGTATCGCAGACAGCAACTACGAACCTACTGATGATGAATCATCTGGTGGTTCCGATACAAACTCTACTGCCTCCCCCATGCTTGTGCAAACCGCAGACACCAATGGCGATGAGTTATCCGTTACTTCTGGTACAAATTTTCGATTACCAGGAAGTAGTGCTGCCTCCGCTCCTATGCCAAACACAGACACAGATGACAATTTAGCTGGTAACACCGGCGCCGCCTCGGATAATATGATATGGAGTATTCCAACAGGTAGATAACCAGTTTTATTACCCTTTACCAAAAAAACTGGTACTGAACCCCATCTTGCTGAGCTTTTGCGTGAAGAACCTCTGGAAATGTTTTATTTTTCACTAATTAGTGACTCTATTTTCAATACATTGCTGACCAAACGAATCTATATGCCACGCAAGTTATTACAGATGAAGCAGATGTAAAAGGTACATCTAGGTTACATAATTGGTTCCCTACAGATAAAAATGAAATCAAGAAAGTTTTTGGCTTGCTTTCGTACAATGCCTAATATTCAAGCCTATTGGAGCCGAGAAGCTATGTATAAAAACTCTACGGCTTCTAAAGTAATGACACGTTATATATTTGAGCTGTTGCTACATATGTTGCATTTTGCAGATAATCAGGATAATCCAGATAATGATAGACTGCATGAGATTGACAAAATAGTACATAATTTTAAAACATCATATGAACCTTCCGAGACTTACTGCATTGATGAGTCCCTTATTCCATTTAGGGGAAGATTAATAATGCGACAGTACATAAGAAACAAGCGCCATAAGTATGGAATAAAAGTATTCAAATTGTGCAGCATAGGAGGATATACCTATAACTTTAAAATTTATGCAGGAAAAAATTTAGACCAAGGTCATAATACACCCACATCTGTAGTTATGAGTCTTTTTGAGCCCATACTAGATTCAGGCCGCACTCTTGCAACAGACAACTGGTATACAAGTGTAGATTTGGCAAAAATATTGATGGATAGGCAAACATATTTGATAGGCACATTGCGAAAAAACAGACGAGGCCTTCCAAAAGACCTGGTCAACAAAATACTTAAATGTGGAGAGATAGCCGCTCTCGAAAATCAGGACGGTGTCACAGTAATTTCCTGGAATGATAAACGCAACGTTTTAGTGCTTTCTACCAAACAGAGCAACACAAACAGTAGACCCGACAAACCGCAGACAAAAAACTGTAAAGAAGCCTGAAGCCATTGTAGCATATAACGCAGGAAACTCGTCGGTTGATATCTTTGATTAGATGACAGCTTATCAGACACCTTTGCGTAGAACCTTTAAGTGGTACCGTAAGTTAGCCGTAGAGATTATCCTGAATACTGCAATGGCCAATGCATGGATTATGTATAAGGAAACTGAATTTCCTTACTTCAGCTTCGAAAAGCTGATACATACCAGTTATGTCAAGCGCAAGACGATGGGTTAGCAGAGCAACCAGATGCAGAGATGATTGTAAAAAGAAAACGCCAAAAGCACGAAATGGGCAAAAGTGATTATAAAAAACGAAGACCTTGCAGTAGATGCTACGAAAAAGTGTGAGCCGAAAAAGGATGGAAAAAAGCTCGAGAACTCACTAGAGGACGTTGTTATTGTAAAGGTTGTAATGGTGAACCGTTTTTCTGCTTATCATGCTATAATAAGTTTCGTAGATATGAAACTCCTTAGAAATAAGTTTTTTCTAACGTTTTTTATATATTATTATGTAAACTACTGGTTTTCGTTCTAGATTTTTGCAAAAATAAACGATTTATAAAGTAAATTATTGTTAAAAATAAAATAACCAAAATATTAAAATTCAATCAATTTTTTACATAACTGATATGGGTCAACAATCCTCAGACGCCAACTCAGTCTACTATCAGCGTTAAACCAATGCAAAATTAAACAGCTGGTGAAAGAGGATTGAACATTCGGCTCGGTCTAATCGACCGCGTTGGCGAGGCTGGCAAAATTTCTTCTCGGTCTTATGGACCATGATGGCGAATAAGACAAACACAATTTTGGTCTTATAGACCGAGTTGGCAGCGAATGTGTTAAGTAGGTTCCTTCAGCCATGCTTCCTCTTCAGTGACGACTCCATCCCAAAAACGTGACAAGAAGAGACATTTGAATATTCAGGAAAAAGAAATTTTAGAGCATCCTGAAATGAAAGTTCATGATATTGAAAGACGTGTGAGGAACAAAGCAGGCTTATGTCCTAACAGAATTTTCAGCATTGTTAAAGAATATAAAAAAACAAAAAATTGTCTCCACCACATCAGTCGAAATGTCCATCAATTTTTTTAAAGACAGGAACTCCCCACCGTAGACAAACCAGCACCTGTTAGATACTCTGATTGTATTATTATTAGTTTTCTTGAATACTATATGAAATAATGATTTCCAGAAAAATCAGAACGATTTACACTGTCACATTGGCAGTGAAGATGGCGACAATGCCGTCAATATCCTACTTGATAATGCTGCACACCACACTAGAAAACTAGAAAAAATTCCAACAATGTCCACAAGAAAGGCATAAGATTCAATGAAAATATGGTCAGAGCAGAAATTATCCATCTAGTTAGGTAGCACAAATATAAATATAATCTCGATGTTATTGACGAAATGGCTAAAAACCAAAATAAGACCACTTTAAGGCTACTCCCTTATCACTGCGAATTAAGGCCCATTGAAATGATTTGGGCAAATGTAAAAAAAAATGTGGCACCAAACAATCAAACATTAAAATTTTCTGACGTGAAAAATTTGTTTTATGGAGCTGTCAATAGAGTGACGGCGAACCATTAGAAATATTGCATTCGTCACGTTCAAGGGACAATCGAAACAAAGATCTGGATAATATGATCGATATTCAAATTGAACCTGTAATAATTAATATTAAGCATCCAGACGATAATTCAAGTACTTCCAGCGAATAAAGAATTGTGAAAATAATCATTTATTTTGTTAGATTACTCCAAGACCATTGAGGGAAATACGGACCTGTACAATCTCGCTTTTAGGCATGTTGTGTTTTGTCTGTTCGTAAATGGACTACGAATGGGGTATCATTATCTGACGGCCAGAAAGAAAAATCAGTTCGATTGAACCCTGTTTCTAGATCAGTTTACTTAAATATATGAAACTGCTTTAATTGAACCAAAACGCGGCTGTTTAAATATATTAAACGTTTTACTTAGACTGTTTATTTATATTTACTTAGTTTATTTATATTAATATAACGAACTATCAAAATGAGTTTATTTGCGCAAAGTGAAACAATTTCAATATACTTATTAAATTTATTTAATCAATTTAAATAAAAATGTTTGCCTAGTTTCAACGTCGCATGCCAACAGACTGTCTAGAGGCGTATTCTTAATACATTTGGTCTAATTGTTTCATCGTGTGTATAGAGATGACTGTACGACGATACCATTAGTACCTTTTTTATCAAAAAATGCATTTTTTGTACTTATTTATGCATCCCTTCTTCAATCGAAACTTGACAACAAATACTAGTACTAAGGTCAAGTACATCTCCTTCTCCTCCTCCTGCAGCAGTCACGGTATTCTGGTATTTTGGCTTTGCCTTTCCGACTACTTGATTATAAAAATATATAGAAGATGCAGCGAGAGTTTTGTACGTCTTTCCGATGTTGGTTTGACTGCCACAACGTACAAGGCTAGGGAAGAACGCTTTTCAAAAGTTTTACAAGTTGTGATCACGAGCATATTTGGCGGTTTATTAGCATTCTTATAAACGCCTCAGTAAACGATACCTCGAATGTGATTTCATCGCTGCCCTGTTATGAAACCAGAGCTAAATCGTGATGAAATCAAAAGTTTCCCAAATGTAACCAACCTGAAGAAAACAATTATTGGCTTCAACATTTTCTAATATAGTAGAGGATACCAAGCTGCTAAATGGGTAGTTACTCGAGGGTCGTAGGGAACTATTGGGTTTTGCAGGTTAGATCGAAGAAAGATGAAAAAAGGTCATACGATGTACCCTTTCAGGCTGCGAGAAAAATAATAATAATGATAATAATCCTGCTTTATTTATACAAGGTATAAAAAGGCGAAATGTCGCTAAAAAGCGTTTTTCAACTTAACCCAACAAATATTTATGTAAATTTTCTATTCCCAATGAAAACAAAAAGGTTAAAAAAAACCTGTAACGAGTCACTGTTCATGACCATGGTCTACTTACTGGGCAATGAAATCAGAGATAAAATGCTTCAATCTTTTTTTGAAATACTTTATAGAGTAGTGAGTGAACTCGGTAGGCAACGCGTTGTATAGCTTGATAGCAGTATACGTATATACGTACGACCTTTTAAATAGAGATGTCGAATGTCTCGGGATAACCAAGATACGCTTATTCTTTGTGTTCAGTTGATTAACATCTGAGTATCTGATTAATTTGGCTGATAGATATGGAGGGGATTGTGTTGTGATTACCTTATGGGTCAAGGTCAATACGTAAATTTATGTAGCTCTTCTATTTTTTGAACACCTATCGATCTTAGTGCAGGCCCATAAATACAGTCACAGTAGTGAATTCTAGACCATGTTAAGGTTTCGCACAACTTCAGCTTGATATTTTCCTATGAGGAAATAATTGCTTCAAGTCACCGAATGATGTTCGGCACGGTTGACTAACGTGCTTTTCAGACCTCAAATCAGAATCAGTCCTAAATTCTTGCACTAATTTTTTATAGGGATTTTGCTTTTTTTGATTCTTGGTCCAAATATAACTGCGGATGATTTTAACGGGTTAATTTTAAGATTATGGGCACAAGATACGTTAGATAAATTTATTAAGTCATTATTAATCAATTTTTTTAAATCTTTAATATCAAAGCCAAAGTACAATAGAATGTCGTCAGCAAAGTGATGATTACTGCAGTATTCAGCGTATTCGTGGAAGTCAGAAATGTAAATTGAGAACAATGATGGTCCCAGTATGGAACCCTGTGGTACCCCTAGTTTACCTGGTATCTCCTCCGAGATTCTTGACCCAATCACAACCATCTGACTCCTGTCAGTTAAATAACTTAATACAAAATTAATTGCAGATTCCGAAAAACCAAAGTATATAAGCTTTTTCACAAGAATAGATGGTTCCAGAGTATAAAAAGCCTTTGTATAATCAAGTAACACTAAGCACGCTAAATTTCCTTGATCTACACATCTGATTAAGTCATCCGTGATGCTAGAAAGAACTGTTGTTGCTGTGGTTTTTCCTGAAACCCGATTGGATTTCAGGAATGATACCATTAGAGAAGGCGTAGTCAGATACCTGATGTTCCATGGCTAGTTCTAATAACTTGGAAAATGCTGGTAGCATATTTATCGTCTTCAGATGTGAAATATCTGTAGGATTACTTATTTTAGCTAGGGGGAGAACATTTGCTTTTTTCCAACAGTTGGGGAAGTTTGATGATGCAATTGCATAGTTGATGATGAAAGTTATATTTTCAGTTAGCAAATCGAATATGATTGTTAGCATATTTAGGTTGATTCCGTCGACACCCAAGGCATTACTTTTGATACTCCGGAAAAATCCCATAACATTGTGGCAAGTTATTTGGGAGAATGTGAATTGTCTGGCTTGCTGGCTGGTGTTATATTTTTCCAGCAGTTTCATTTGTAACTCAGACTTAACAATGATAGGTAAACTAGAAAAACACTTACATAGAAATATAAGAGTACACCAGATAGTGATATTGAATGTGGCCCACGTGTCACTGATATTGGAGGTATGATAATCTGTCTGTTTGTACCGGGTGGGGTATTAAGAAAGGACGCCGGATATAACTCCGCAACCAGCCAGCCTAGAGCTATGTCGCCATAACAAATTCCTGGAAATTATTTTTAGCTTCCTAAAGTGGCCGCTAACTCCGACCTTAAAATTAAAAATGACGTTTTTTAGCAAACTTTAAATGCAAGGCTATAAAGTTGTTTTTGAAGGTTTACGACCCTTCCTCTCCTTCACGTCACACCCAAATTATTATTGAAATACACGCTTTTCAACTTTCTCACCTTATCTTAGTCTAACACGTACAAGTATTTCGCACCATCTATTTCTCTTTGCTATTCGGGACCGCTGTCCAAGATGTACCTCCTCTATAAAGGGCTTATCTGGCGTATCTCATTCTTTCCAATTTTACAGGAGAGCGTTTTAAATATTTTCATAAGATTTGAGTTATTGCAACATATTGAATTTGAGGGTATATCTGCTTATGTTTACAAGCTTTTCAAAAATGAGTAACAATTAACCGGTTTTTCATGGTATGTGTTCAAAATTTCCAAAATAAGTAGATACATCATTTTGTGAAATTGAAAGGTAGTAATTCATAGAATGAAGACTTAGTGCGGGTTACATTGAGTGATGAAAAATCGAAACAGATGGAATTTAAAGAAAAAAATGTTTTATTACAAAACAAAATGGTTACAAAAAGGGCAAAATAAGTACCCACAGTATCTAAAACTATTTAACTCCCTGTACGAGTTAAA